TAGCCCGAGCAATAAACGGACATGACAATCCTTGCAGCTAGCTATTGGGGCCATTGCACCACTGTTTTTACGTCCTTATGGCCCTGACTGGGGCCCGGGCGCTGCGGGGGGCGTGCGACAGTCTGGCAAAAGTCAGGAGCAGCCCTTGTGGAGGGAGATGTTATCTGTAATGAACACTTTGGAAGGGTTCGCGTCTGCCGGGACAACCTTCCGTTTTACAGGGGCTCATTTCATTGGCCTACCATCAACCGACCTTCTTGGTTCATGTAGCGCGCTTTCCAGCTTGGAGTAACTTGCCGGAGCAGAGTGCAACACAGTTGGTTTAAGGTTTAAGGATGGACGTTCAACAACAGTGTAGAAATCGGCACAGTCCGGTCATTGACTCGTTGAGCGGCCCGGCCTGACAGGACACTTATTTATTTTGGCGCCACCGGGAGTCGCACGACGTGTTGGGGCTGATGGGGCTCGCAGGGCACGCCCTGGGCACGCAGCGGGGTAGCGGGGGCCTCCCACCTCGTGAGTCGCTGCGGTCAACCGAACGATAAAACTGCAAAGACTTCCTCATTTCTGATTTTTATCGTTCTTTCAAGTGTTTCCTTAGCTCAGGCTTTTTGAAAATTTTAAATTTTGAACTGAAGTGAACATGAAAAAGAAAACGTTACAAACTCAAACTCGGAATGACCATCGTGATGGAGCCCTTTCGCGGCGTCTCTTTGCGAGAGATGTGCCAAATTGTCGAACTGCATGGAATGAAATGGATTGCATACGTTCAGACTGTCCTTGACGCCCTTTCGGCTCCGAATCCCTCAACGCCAAGCGACAAGGGACTCCACTTTATCACCGGGATGCTGCAAGGGTGAGTCACGCACACACACGGTGGGACACACACACACACACGCAGAGGCACAGAGGCACATGGGTGCGACAAGCAGGAGGCTGCTCTCACGCGAAAGCTCTAGCCTCTTATCGGAATCCAGCCCCCAATACCCCGTAGAGGCGGCTTCGGCGAGGCCTTGCAGCGCCTTGGGGCTACAGCAACAGCAGGTGGCGGTCACAGAGCCTCGCCGACTGGACGCTGTGTGGTCCTTGTGGCTGTGCCTTTCTCACCTGGCACGACATCCATTCTGCCGACCTGCCGGCGACCTGCCGCCCTGGCGGCAAGCGCCGCACCGTCTCGTCCAAATGTTACGTAACAGGAGGAGTCTTCGAACCCTGCCCACCCTGTCCTTGTCAAATCCCCTTATTTTCCTTAAAAAAAAAATTACGTATGCTCAAAATTCTTTGCAAAAAAATCCACAACTTTCACTGTGAGGCCTAAAATAGGTTAGAAGAAGTCAGGAGTGGAAGTAAATGATTTTGGGTCCACCCCCGACGAAGGTGAACGCAAGACGCGTCACAAGAAGAGTGCCACTGCGGCACCTGCCGTCGAGGCACCTGCCGCTACCCCTTTGGGCACGTGGAACAATTTGTATCGAAGTCGGCGAGCGGCCCGGCCGGCCGGCCAGGCCGACTGTCCGTGCGAAACGAGCGCTGCCTTGACGAGCGCCGCGACCGACGAGCGCGGCGACAAGCGTCGCTCCGTGTAAACTGTCACTTGCGCGGCACGCCGATGCGGCGCGTCATGTCAATGAGCTCTGTCCCTCTCGCTCCTCTTTTCTCTCTGGCTCGCTCTACTCTCCTCTCGCTCTTTTGAGATTTGCACGGTCCTGCCGACGCGACGCGGGGAGGTTCACTGATGCGTCCTTCGGATTCCTCCGCACGCACTCTGCCTCCCGTCTCTCTCACTCGCACAATCACTGCCCGGCGGTGGACGGAGACAGACAGACGGACGGAGTGAGAGAGGGGTGCGAGCGGTGCTGGGGTGGCTGCTGGATTTGCAAACGATGAGCACGACTGGTTATTATGTAATCATGAAAGGGGTGAGAACACTGTTGGCAAATTGGAAAGAGAATCGTGGATTGAATCCTAAGGGACTGTAACTTGATTTTTGTCAAAATGTGCACAATTTTTTTTAAAGCTGCTGTAAAAAGTCGAAAAATTCTCATTTTCTTTTTGTATTTGCTTGATGTACTTTTGGGGTGGTTTGACAGGAGCTCGCACTTTATGTTGCGACCATAAGTAAGGGTTATTAAGGCGAGGTCAGGGCTGGGTTGTTTTGGTTTGGCTTTGGGGTTCGTTCCTATCTGTTTGATGCAGATCTCCGCCCGTCCGTGCCTCGGCGAGAAGTTTGCCACGCTCTGTCTCTCTCTGTCTCGCCGGCCCGGCCTGCCACAGGCCTGCCACCCACGCGCTAAGGGCGCCGACTCAGCGTGAGTCCTTGGCGAGGCCTTGCGACAGAGTCCTCAGGACGCTGCTGGTGGATGCGCCGACCTGGCGAAGAGTCGCATCGAAATGCCGCGTGCAGTCCGACTCCCGCTGGCTTTCCCCCGCAAAGTGTGCAAGCTTGCGGCCTTTGGCGTTTTGCACTGCCGATTGCCACAAAGACTAGAAACGCGACGAAAATCACGAAATCGGCGGCGCAACTCGCCCAGCCTTGCACGAATTACCCCTCACCCAAAACAATCCCAACAAAAAAAAAAATTCTCGAGAGTTATGCTTCAAAAAGCGCATCCTCTACACCGCTAAGTCGGCTTACTTTCGGAATGCCCGCCTCGTTATCGGGATGCAGGTCACCGGCACGGGTCAGCCTTGTAAGCCTCCAACTTTCATACTCGGCTGAATTTATTCAGCGCTTTTTGCCTTTTGCCTTTGTCGGCTGCTGCGAGGAATGCAAGGTGATTCACGTGGATCACGTGACCGCGCGTTGCCACGGCAACCGCGGCTTTTTATATCGAATATTTTTTTGTTTCCACCCTTTGAATGGTACTGTAACAAAGAGGTGGTGAGAGGAGTCAGATCGGTTAAAAAAAAACGAGCAAAGGATGAGTCACAAAGTTTTTGGAGTCATCGCGTCCGTCTGTGAGTGAACCGTGGCAACTGACTGTTTTGAAATCAGCTCGATTGGCCAGTGCCCATGTCCAGCTGACCCTAGCTGACCCAGCTGACTGACCAGGCTGCGGCCCCAGCGGGGCTCCGCACGCCGAATGGGGCCCGGCCCGGTGGGGCGCCCTCGCTCTGTAGGGCGGCGTCCTTTTAGTGTGTGTGTGGCGAAGGACCTGTCCCCGACCCGCATGTTTTGCCTCATTCAATTAATTTGGTCCGAGCGTGTGGACGCGCCATTCAGGGGGACGGAAATTTTGTTTTGTCACATCAGAAGGCGGTGCGGTCAGTCCCACGACCCTGAACAGGCCCGGACTTCTGGCCGGCGCTGTCAAAACACCTTTGGGAACTCACTGGGGACACGGCGCGGCCCTTGGGCCTTTTCGAGTCGAGGCGCTGGGTACACACCCCTTGTTCGGGCCTCTATGGCCGCGATGTGTTCGAATCTGAACGTCCACAAAGGTGTACACGCCGTTTCCGCTTTGTGTGCGAGCGAGACGGGCGGAGCGGCGTCTCTGCCGGTGGACAAGGAGAGCGATAGTCTACCTGAGTTTGTCCCTCTATTGTGACAAGTCCACCCTACCTGTCCGGTCCGCCTTTCCCTCGGGAGATCGAACTGGCCACGGCTCCATTCAGAGTAGCGTAAGTTGTTGTACATACCCTCTCAAAAATAATTTGAAAAAAATAATAAAGTTTTACTTTGAAGCAATCGCCAACGGATATTATCCCTCTGCTCGAGACACGGTCGTGCACGCTGCCGCGCAGTGCTGCCAACAGAAATGAAAATTGAATTAAACGATCTGCAAGCGTCGCTTTGGCTGGCTCACCGTCAACCGTGCTTATTGCTGTCGATTTGACTTGTCTGCGATCGGCGCGATCAGCGCGCGAGGCCAGTGGCCGCCTGCGGTGCGCACTGTTTGATCAGCGATTCGCCCCGTCTCTCTCGCACTCGTGTGGCGTTGCGGAGGTGCGAGGGAGACCGAACGGAGAAACGCTGCGCGCGGAATCAGTCTGCTGATCACGCTTGTTGGAGGCTCGGGTATCGCTCGGAAAGTGATTCAGTATAGCTTAATCAAACGCGCGTGCATTTATTACGTAAAGAGGCCGGGCCTGCGAAAGATAAACGCTGCTAAAGAGCACGCAGAGTGCGTCACGTTTTTTCGGGATTTGAAAGATCCCACTGGAAGGTCTCTCGGCCGGACCTTACCGGTACCAACCTTCCCGCGAATCTAATTGAGGCACATTTGAGTGTTCCCTCTCGTCGGCCTGGGTGGTCTGCCCGAGTCGGTACCGCCAACCTAACAAGCCGGCAGCCATTTAAATATTTCATCAGGTTTTATTACTGCGGCCTGGAATAACTTGATAGTATATGTCGTTCATTCCGAATAATAGTGCGCGCTCTTTTCTTTATTTATCCTCGACTCTTTGCCCTCTCACTCACACACGCGCACCTCACGCACCCACACACGCGCGCACACACACACACACACACACACACACACATGCACGCAGCGCGCGCCGTAGATACACACACTCGTTGCGCGCGTTTACATGGACGCCGGGCATAATCATAAATTGTGGGATGACGTGCTTGCATTGGCTCTGTCTCTGTCGGACGCGGGCCGCGGCCCGTCGGTGCTCTCCGTCGCACCCAGGCCTGGGCCGGCCTGGCCTCCAGGTGCGACCCGGGTCGAGCTCTTTATCAAACGGCCAGGCCGTCGGACGAGGCGCTGTTCCGGCCGCTCCACGCCGCCACGCCGCGCCCGCCACGCCGCGCCACGCCGCGCCACGCCCCACGACCAATGGCGGCGGGGCTGCCGGATGGCCGGGTGGTGCGGTGGTGGGGGAGGTCCTGGCGGACCCACCCGCGCGCATGCGCCGCGCCGGCCGCACCGCCACGGCCCGGCCGCCGGGCGCTCCGGTGGAGGGGGGAAATAGAGCTATAGCCGGGCCGGCGAGCGAGACGGCGCTCTCGGGCCGCGCCGCGAGTGCGAGAGAGCGCGCTGCCGACTGGGCGGAGCCGGCGGGCGGGGCGGAGGTTCTCGACGACGCTGGCAGCGCCTGGCAGCGCCTGGCAGCCCAGCCCGAGCAGAACATGATTGTGCGCCGGCCGTGTTTGAGTAGAGAGCAGGCCGAGCAGGCAGACAGCTAATATAGACGTGGCCGGACAGCGTGTCACTTCGGTCAACCAGTCGGCGACGCGTCCGTGAAGTGTGTTGTGAACATGCAGTGCTAGTGACGACTTTTCGCGCTCCGCCATGGCTTTGGAGACGGAACGGTGCTCCCCGAGCAACGCGGCCTCCGCGTCGAGCCCCAGCCCGACGAGCCAGCACCACCAGCGCCCGGCCCTGCCCGACTCGCCCGCCCAGCAGCCGCAGCGGTCGCCCTGCACGTCGCCATGCACCTCGGCGCCGTCCTCGCCCGTCGTGGTCCCCAAGACTGAGATCCTGGACAATGGTGAGCACTCGCCCAGCCCGTCGCCACCCAGGGCGTCCTTCTCCATCATGCACAAGGAGCGCTCCATCGCGCACCCGCGCGCCCTGCCCGCCGTGCCCGCCCCCGCCATGTACTTCCAGGACGCCCTGGACTACAGGCTGCTCCGCCACCCCATGCACCGCCCCTTTATGGACCTCAGCCCCGGCGCGCCGCCGCCCGGCGCCCTGGGCCACCTGGGCCTGCACCCGCTGCAGCAGCTGCAGTACGTGCACCCGGAGCTGTACCACCCTCTCCGGGACCCTCTCCGGGACCCTCTCCGGGACCCTCTCCGGGACCCTCTTCGGGACCCTCTTCGGGACCCTCTCCGGGACCCGCTGGCGCCGCTGCAGCACCACCACCTCCACTCCAGCAACGCCCCGGTGGACCTGCTGCGGCCGCACCTGCAGGGCATGCCGGGCTTCCAGCAGGAGGCGCCGCTCCCCTTCTCCGTGGACAACATCCTGCGGCCCGAGTTCGGGCGGACGGCAGTGAAGCGCCGCCTGGAGGCGCCGTCGCCGTCCTCGGGGGTGCTGACGCCGTCCAGCCTGGCCAACGGACTGGCCAGCGGACTGCCCGCCAGGCCAGCCGCCCCCAAGCCCGCCAAGAAGCCCCGCACCGCGCCGCTGCCGCTGCCGCCCCCGGCCATCACCTCCCCGACGACCACCGCCGCCCCCGCCGTCAGCCCCGCCAAGAGCATCGCCTCCGACGTGACCTCCACCAGCGGTGATGACGCCTCCAAGGACGGCGAGGACAAGAACAACATGTGGCCAGCCTGGGTGTACTGCACGCGCTACTCCGACCGGCCGTCCTCAGGTGAATATGCTTCCCAATTCAATCTAAGCTTAACCAATTAGACGACCGAGATACTATATGAATTCGTGCCTAGCTTCCTGGCAATAGTTTCGTGTTGGCTTATTTTTTTGTCGGGTCGAAATGTCAAGCAGTTGAGCGCTAGTGGATTGCTTCTAGAATATTTTGCTGATAATGCAGGATGGACAGGATAGGCTTTCGGGAAATGCAGTTCCGTTTCGTGCCTGAACAGCTGATGCGCAAAGCAATGCCGCCTGAACGGCGCCTGGCTTTTGACAGTGTTCCTACCTGTCTGGCCGGGCCAAAGCCACAGGCAGCCACAGGCAACCACAGGCAGCCACGGGCCACACAATGCTCCAAAGCTGATAAAGGACGGTCGAATCGCAATGCCGTGTCAAACGTGATGCCGCATCGCGAAGTGAATGTCTTTTGTGACTGCCTTTGTGGGGCCAACAAACCCCCAAGAGGTGTGCCCCGGTGCGCCCCGGCGAGGCGACTCAGGTGGTGCAGCGGCGGCGCGAACGCAGCTTCCTGCTTTTTTGTCTCAGCCAGGGAGGTTATGGTTGCCCCGCGATGACGCGCCCCGATAGCCTAAACAAGGTACGCGTCCGGCAGTCTCACTTTGAAAGTAAAACGTTTGTTCGTCTCGCCGTGGCGGGGCTGGCGGGGCTGGCGGGGCTGGCGGGGCTGGGGGCTGCGGGGGTGGGGGGGCTGGCGGGGCTGGCGGGGCTGGCGGGGGCTGCGGGGCTGGCGGGCTGGCGGGGCTGGCGGGGCTGGCGGGGCTGGCGGGCTGGCGGGGCTGGCTGGCGGGGCTGGCGGGGCTGGCGGGGCTGGCGGGGCTGGCGGGGCTGGCGGGGCGCGCGCGGCCGAGCACGGGCTGTTGCTCCGGAACGAGGTGCCATCAGTCTCGCCTAGCCCCGGGAATTGCACCAATATATCTGGAGGGACGCTCACCTGGACCCTGGAACCCCGGGCCTGTCGGGCGGGTCGTTCGTTTCCTGCATACTCACCGTTTGACCGGGTCAACGCGCCTGCACCGATTGTGGCTCAAGTGGTTCCCGCGCGTTATGGACGTCCGTCCCTCTCGCACTCGCTGGGTGCATCGTGTGGGTGCGAGAGAGACCGCTGCAATTAGCCGCGCTAGCCATTGAAGGCTGCCAGCTCCGCCAGCCCCGCCTCGCATCGGCCGTTAATGAGCCGTTTCACACGATTGCGACTTCCGTAACTTTGAGGATCTAGATGTGCACAGGAAACGCCTAGCGGTAAAGTTTGCTGAAAGTTTAAAAATTGTCGTCATTTTGCGGTGAGCTTTGAGTAGTATAGACGGCTCATCGTTACAGGCTGCCTTGGTGCGACCCCGTTTAGCTGCCTGAAACTGTTTGCCGGGTAGGCCACCGCCAGACAGCCGCGGCCCCGCGGCCCCCCACCGCTCCATACGACACCTTTGACAGCGCTGCAGACGCCGCCTGGCTTGAAGCCCGCCGGTTCGAGCCTGGCTTCGGAGCAGCCTGGCTTTGAGCGAGCATAATGAGCGGTCCACAACTAGCCTGGCTGTCTGCTCGCCAATTAGAAATAAATCAGACGTCGTTTATTTCTTCGACGGCGTTTGCCCGCCACGCCTTGGGTGGTTCGGGCCGCGGCCGCGGGGGGCGCTGCTTTCCGGACTTGGTGTTTCGTTGTAGAGCAGTGCTTGTTTACCGGAATCGCCCCGAAAAAACGACAAACGAAACGCGCCTCGGGTCACGTTGGGTCACGAGGGCGGCGGCCGACGCCTCGCTCGTCACGGGCCGCCACGCGCACGCCGTCACGCCACCGTCACACGCACGGCCGATGACCCTCCAGTCACGTGACTCAATTCGGAAGCCGTGCCTTTTACCCAAGTGTGGCACAACTGCGAAAAAAAAAGGGGAAAATTCAATTTGCGTGACCGATTTACAGAGCAAAATGGCCGACGTGATTAAATTTTGATCCGCGGTTGAGCTGACAGCGAAATGTAATCATCTCAAAGCAAATACCCTCGCGCTCTCGCGCGCGACACGGCGGCCAGACAGACAGGCGGTTCTCACAATGCTGTCGCCACTATCTGTCTGCATCTCGTGCGCCGCAGCTGCGGCGACACAGAGATAGCAGTCACCCCGCTTGAGTAGCGCCGCAGAATGCAGCGCAATTTTTTAATTTTCTACACGACTTGCTCGACGGTCGGTCGGCGGGATGCTGCCGGCGGGGCTTCGACACGATCGGGCAGCGCGCTCGGAAGCAGTGGCGGCTCCGGCAGGCCTAACTGGCCGATGCGTCGATCTAGCCGAGTTCTATCCCGAGGCCAACACGGAGGGCATCGCCTGGCACTTCCCTGTCGGCGATACCGATTGTAAATTATTTATTTTCTGCGCCGATTTTTCATTTGTGTCGATGCAACTGTTTTTATAAATTCTTGTAGCTGTTCTTATAAATCAAGTGGCGCGGAAGGGTTGGCGGGAGTCCGCAGGCTCGGCGGGGCCGCTAGGGCTGTGAGGGGCGAAGCGGGCCGAAGCGAAGCCAAAATCCCTTCCCTTTCCCCGGCAGCCATTTTGCCGCTCCCCTGCAGGGGTGCCAACCGGGGTGGGGCATTCAAATTAGCTAACACCATGGAAACTTGCTCGGCTATTCGTGACTCTGAATTATAATCCATCTCGTTATGCTTCTTGCTCTCTGATTGCTCTAATTCTCGAGGGGTGGCCCCGTCTCTCTCGCACTGAAGGGTTGCCACTGGCCGTGAGGCCCGCCTTATCCTCCGCGGTTTTTTATGGTACTTAGTGCACACATTTGTTTGGGGGCAGTGCCGACAATTTTCTCATCATTGTTCCTCTTTTTTTTTCGCTGGTGGACATTAAACAGGGAGATTAGAAGAGGTTATTGTCCACGCGGAGGAAGGCCCACGATTAAGCCTGGACGCCCTGGGCAGTGAGTGGGCGGAGCGGAAGGACAGCTCGTCGCGTGCGCGATTGTATGAAACATTGATCGGTGCGAGCTTGACTAGCTTGACCCGACCGGGCTCGCGACCGCGCTCGCGACCGGGCCGGCCGACCAGCCGATTTGTGGATCAAATATTGAGCAGCGAACGGGTTGGGGTGGGGCCCATTCGGTGGAGCGCACGCTTTCGATCGGGTGCTTAGCTCGGACCGGCCCGGGGCTCGACTCGCCCACCGAGCAGCACAGCGCAATTAAGATGCCATTAATATGCTCCCTGATGCGGGTGACGCGGCGCGACGCGACGCGGCGACGCCCAGTGACGAGAACGAGTTGAATATTCCCCAGGGCTCGTCACGGCTTGGCGCAAATCCACTGCAAAAAAAGAAAAAAGAGGACTTTTTTTCCAACGAATGGATCTGATTAGCCGCGCGGCGTGATTGTTGCCGTTTCGTTTCCGAGTCGCTTATTTGCAGTTCGAGGCTGATTTTGTTCTGCGAATAGTCTTAGGAGCTCGTGTGCTCGTGCCTCACCCTATCTGGCCTTTATCGACCACCCTCGATGGCTTAGGCCACGTTGCTGCTGCTGCCTACTGCTGCCCAGGTAGACCCGACCCGCCTCCCGCCTGTCCGCCTCTCTCTCTCTCTCTCTCTCTCTCTCTCTCTCTCTCTCTCTCTCTCTCTCTCTCTCTCTCTCTCTCTCATTAGTGGCCAGACTGCGCTACCCCTTTGGGGGATGTGTGTGGCAATAAATAATACGAGCGAGATAATCTTTTGTTGTGATGTGCGGTGTGTTTACACGACTACCGTGGGCGAGCGAGTGAGAAAGTACTCTGCGAATAAACCAGTCGCTCTCTCGCACTCGCATAGAGTGTCGCTGACGACTCACTGGTTACCAACCGCACAGTACCTGCTTCCCACGCGGCATGGACCGCTGTGCCGCGACACGACTCTGAAATCGCGCCGCTCACTTTGGCGAGCTATGAGCGTCATCGTGTCGACACGCCGACACATATTCCGCTACCCTTTTCTCGCACCCCGTCGCCACGCCTCTTTCAACGAGAGGGACAGGGGGAGAGAGAGAGAGAGAGAGAGAGAGAGAGAGAGAGAGAGAGAGAGAGAGAGAGAGAGAAACGGGGAGTGGAGGGGGGCATTGTGTAATTACAAACATGGCGCATACGAACGGAGCAGCGCGGAGCAGGAGCAGGCTGCCATCAAGCGACTCCGTGTCCAGCCATAACGAACCCTCATGCGGCACACACACACACACACACACACACACACACACACACACACACACACCCGCGTGCGCTCCTCTCTCTCATACGTAGCACCGTTTTCCGATTTATAGGTTTTCCGGATACAGCACGTTGCGTCCTATCCTCCTTCCGGGCTGCTTGCAGTGCCGCCTTATGTCACAATGACACGATAGGGTCGCTCTGTCTCACTCGCACCCGCACCAGACGGGGCGTGCGAGAGACGGCCTTGATGGAGAGAGCCACCTGGGGTGTCTCCACCTTTCCCGGCGACCGAAAGTCCCCGCTTTGGAGCGTGCCCGCCGCGTCACTGGCCGCGTCACTGTGCGGTCCTGTTTGGAACACGCCTTTTGGCCACGTTCCTATTGACTCTTTGAGCGCGTTCCGCCTGGAACACACACACACACACACACGCGCGCGCGCTCACACACATGCAGCGCGCGTGCCGAGCCGGGCCTAGGATGGGCGGTCACGTCCATTTGAAATAAACGAGAGGGTTAGCGGCACAAAAAAGCATAGGCCTCCGAATAATTGTTTGTTTGTCCAACGGCCGTTTTGGTGTGACCGCGGCGGCGGAGCACACACGGTCGGCCACACACGCACTCACTATTCCGTCCACGGCCGCGCCGCCGCGCCCCGGAAGTGATATTACTTTTATTTCCGCTTTTGTTTTTTTTATGTGCGAGCGATTTGCCCGGCCGGTTGGCAGCACTGCACTCAAGTACGCGGGGAATGAATGGATGTGTGTTGGTAGCCGTGGGTGGTCGCCGCCGTCGCCGCCGTCGCCGGCCCGGCGAAAGGGAGGTACGTGTTAAGAAATGACAAGGCCTCGACGTATTGCAGGGCCGGGCCGGCCTGGAATCCGTGCAACGCCGCGACAGACGCCGTCTCACACACACAGACACACACACATGCAGCTACCAACATTTTTCGGGTGTAGGGAAATCTGGGGCTATCGCTCTTGTGCATCGATTGTGGCATCCGAGGCATTCGGCCAGCACACACCTTGGGGCGCCTGCCTGGGTCGCGGTGGGTGGCGGTGACGTCACCGCCGGCCAATCAGAGCCCCTCGGGTAATTGGTCGGACATAACCTATCAGAGAAAACAAAAGGAATGAAGCTTCCGCATCGCGGCACTCGATCGGTCCGCTGCACTGGAAACCAATCTGGCACCGCATTGCGCGCATTCCGCGCCACCGTCTTGTCTTGGCCGAGTCCGCTGCAAGCAAGGGTTGCCTTTTCCTCGCTGTTTCCCACCCCCGAGGGTGGCCTTGATGGCCCCCGGGGCTTATCAATAAATGAACCGCCCACGCAACAAGTCACATTAAACGGCGGTTTATCTCCGTTGCCACCCTAACACTTGACTGCCATGACGCTGCGAAATGTGCCGGGGATTAGCATAGCAATCGTGTGAAGTGAAAACACAGTCGGCGCGAGGCGCGCCGCGGGCTGAAGATGACGTCACAGGGCGCGAATTTGTCCGGCAAGGGTTTGCTGCCGGCGTCGCGGTCCAAACGCACAGCGGATGATCTATGGATTCGTCCGCATAATCAAACGACGCTCGCCGAATCGAACATGGCCGCAGCTGTCTCTCTCGCCCCCACTGCCGGCACCGCCGTGCCCCGCCAGACAAGGACAGTCGTCCAATAATAATAACGCGGCCGCAATCATAGTGCCGGCCATTATTCGTGATTTGTACAGTGGCGCGGCATTGGCTGCCGGCCGAGCGGAGCCGAGCCGATCGCCGGCCGAGCGGAGCCGAGCGGAGCCGAGCCGGAGCGCGCTTCCCCCGCCGCGGCCGTTGGTTGAATGGGGCTATGATTATGTTATGGTTTGTTTTGTGGGGTCTGGGCTGCGCCGGGCTGCGCCGGGCTGCGCCATGCCTGCGCTGCACCGTTAAATGCCCGCGGGTGTCCCATTGGACAATGTGTTCTGATTGACTGGCTGCCAACTGCGGCGTTTGGTCGCGAGTTTTCCCCCGGGGCCGCGCGCGGACGCGTCGTGATCGCCCCGCCGTTGACACGAGCGGGCCGCCCTTTCGGACGCGGCCGCGCGGAGGACGTTTATTGCTTCTAACAAGCGCTTGATGGTCGGGGAGTCGTTTGACAGCGCGCGGTCCGAGATATACAAATGAGCGCGGCTGCGTCCGAAAACGTGAACGGCCGCCATCACGGCTGCGTGCGAAAGCACAGCCATTAGGGTTGGATTATGCGGGCTGGGACACATCAAGCTTTAGTACAGGAAGCTCATTGGCCGGGCCCGGCCGGCCCATAGCGCACTACGCCCACTCTGTCGCTAACAGCCGCCCCCTTGCTGTTCACAGGTCCCAGGTCGCGCAGGATGAAGCGAACCAAGGAGGCGTCCAAGGCCTCCGAGGAGAAGAGGCCCAGGACGGCGTTCAGCGGCGAGCAGTTGGCGCGGCTGCGGCACGAGTTCGCCGAGAACCGGTACCTGACGGAGAAGCGCCGCACCGAGCTGGCCCGGGAGCTGGGGCTCAACGAGGCCCAGATCAAGATCTGGTTCCAGAACAAGCGGGCCAAGATCAAGAAGGCGTCCGGCAACAAGAACCCCCTGGCGCTGCAGCTCATGGCGCAGGGGCTGTACAACCACTCCACCGTGCCCATCGACGAGGAGGAGGAGGAGGCCCAGAACGCCATGATCCTGGCCGCCCAGCAGCGGCAGCAGCAGGCCGCCATGTGAGGCTTTTTCGAGCGGTGTGATATACTTCTTATGAGTTCCTCGGCTGCCACACGAGTGTGTTCAGTGCCTCGCCTCCGCGAGCGGACTATACAAGGGCACAATGTCCCCCCATAGCTCGCGAAAGTGACGTTTTTCAAGAGCAGCCACACGCACGTGCCCGTGCCCAGGGCACTCATAGTTTCAAGGCTGATATTTTTTTGTTTGTCGGTTAGAGCATATTTGCTGTAAGTTTAAATGGAGTAATATATTATAGTTTATTAGACGTATGTGCGCAGATTTTTAATGCTGATATGTACTTCTGTAGCATTTGTGTGATCAGTTCCGCACGGAACGCATCTGTATTCTGGCAGGTGAGGTGGGCAGGCGAAAATGTGTGAAGCTTGCCGGTGTTTTACCAAAGATGAATGTTATTTAGTATTTATAGACAGTACAGACACGTTGTGGCTTTAATACTGTAAGATCCTTTTAATTGACGTGCCAAACTTAATTTATTACTGACTGCTGAGGATTACTTTTCGTGATTGTGTGATATCAATTTAATTATATATAAATATAAACAGTGGATGGAAAGTAAATAACCTTGAATTATCGATGTATATTTCTCCTTCAACAGAACAAGTGCGGTTAGTTTGAGCCCTGTACGGAATATTACAAATTTTAGTAAGCAAAACCAAATGTACAGTGTACAAAATGTGACATGAAGAGACGGTTAAATTTTTTAGAAAACAAGCATTAAATTGTACATTTTTAATCGTTTCTCAAAGACATAATTAGACATCGGATTGTACAAAGTCCAGTGATATCAATAAACATATTCATTACATGTTACGTTAAACTAGCTGTGCTACTGTATCCTTGGACCCTTCCCACACACACAAAAATTGAGTTTGAGACTGCTGCTCGATCAAGGGTGGCTGAAATGAAACCAGAGTCCCACATTCAGCGGTGTTCGGGCATCAAAGGGGGAGACAAAAGGGGTCCGTGGCAGTTGCAGAATGTTTTGACGAGCGGAACGAGCAACGAGACTCAAAGGGCCTCGATGTCCGAGACTTGTCGAGGTGTGTAAGTGAACCAAACGGGCCACCCGGCCATAACCCGGTCCACTTGGGTCTCGTTAATCGCTCGCTAAACGGCCCCGCGGTGCCGCGCACTGCCGCGCCACACTCTGTCGCTCTTTGGCGGCAGGCCACGCAGTGCTGCCAATCCCCCCGCGCTGCCACGCACTGCCGCGCCACACTCTGTCGCTCTTTGGCGGCAGGCCACGCAGTGCTGCCAATCCCCCCGCGCTGCCACTACACAGAAAAAAAAATGAGTGGAAAACAGAGTTGGCTCAAAGTACATACACCGAATTTCTACGGAACATGAATGTAAAGGATTGCAAATCGGAAAGACTTACAATAGACAGATTCTTTAATTACCTTTTCTAGATTCGGTACTTTGAAAAAAGTGGGGAGCCTTGGACGGGCATGCCGCCCATGACGCAATGATTATGGGGGAATATTGTTTCGGCCGGGCCGCCATGATCGACACTGGATTTATTTCCTCGGCGCTGCTCAGTCATTGCAGTTGATTTACCGAGCTTTTAATTGGATATGCTCGACGGGAAGGAGCGGGACGGAAATCAAAGCACTGCGGACGGGTTGGCAGTCAGGCTTCAGTCTTAAAATTCATAAAAAGTATTTTTTAAAAAGGGGTGTCATGAAGGCGTTTGTGAGCTCCGTGGAAGTGCCCAGAAAAAGGGCGCTGCACGTTTTCAACTTTTATTTTTATTTCAAATGTTACTTTAAAGTTTGCGTCCTTACATTTATTGTGTCAACTGCTGATTGTTCACAGTGCTCTTCCCGTCTCTGATAAGAGCTGCGCGGCGCAGGCCTTCCGCGACACTCTGTGTCACTCTGTGTGACGTGACGGCGTTGCGAAAACATGCTGTACATTCCGCGACGCGTGCACGGCGTGGCGTGGCGCGGCGTGGTGCGGCGCGCGGCGGCAGGAGACAACCCTGGCGTGGGCCACCCACCGCGCCACGGGGACCAATTTAACCGTTTGTCGTTAAGACATTTATTTAATGCGAGTGTGTGTGTCTTTTTACTCGGCGGCGCGCAAAGCGAGCCCACATGGCCCGCACGCCCCGAAGGAAGCGGGGACGGGGAGAGAGGGGCCCAGAGGCTTCCTCAATGAATGATATATTAGTTCGCACGTCCGGGATTCGCCCCTCACTGACACACACACGCTCACTCACACAGGCGTGCGTACGTCCCTTCGTGTAGTAATTCGCGACGTTAACCTCGACACTGTCTTGGAGCCGCCTCCGGCTCAAACATGCAGATCACACACACACACACATGATGCGGATGCGACACGCGTACAACAGCTCGCAGTAATTGTCAGGGAGCCACACACGGCACAGCAGCCCGAGATTGGAAGCGCTCGTCGCGAAATCGCGGCTCGTCGCGAGCTCGCGGGTTCGACTCCCGCTCCCGGCGCGGCTTTTATTTCGCTCCTTTTCCCTCTCACCGACTTGGACTAATGACGCTCGCAGATCAGAAAACGGGCCGACCTTCAATCAGATAAAGCGAGCCTGGATGTTGGGGACAAGTTCGGCGCCTGATTGCAATTAATTGAGACATTTAAAACGCTGTTGCCTGGCAGAGCCTCTGCCTCTGGCCCCCCTTTTGCGGCCTCGAACAGGTGCCGATATATGGCGAGGCTTTCGTCGAAAACGGGTCGGAGGAACCTCAGGCTCTGGTGAGGTTAGAATTAACTTAGGTTAGGTCTAATGCTGCGTTGTCAATGTGACTTTCTAAAATATACTCTTGCAAGATATTCTTTTGAAACATTCAACCAACCTGATAAGCCACGACCACCGCGCATTCTCCAAACCGCGGTCACTTCCTGAAACCTTTTCGGACCACTGCAACCCTTTTGACGCTATAGCTCGCAGCCTCGCGGTTCATCGAACACGCCTCCAGCCAGCCGGCCCCACGCTGTGACAACACACAACACACCAAAGTAATTTCCTCGCGAAATATCGCACCTCCCATTAAGCCCATTATCCTTGGCCACACAGTTCTGTAAACTTGCCCAATTAGAAGATTTTTGGAAGGAAGGGGTCGGGCACACGCAAGTCTGCGAACAAGGTGCTTTGTTTGTTTGCTCTGTGCGAACTTTCCTCTCTGTGTGTGTGTGTGCGCGCGCGCCAGTCATTGCGTTGCCACGTTCCCTGAATGGGTTATTTGTTTACCCTCCTCGTCATCGTGAAGACGCTGCCCTGACAGGTGAGAAAGACTTCTTCCCGGAGCAAGATCTTTTGGCGACGAAAAAGGAAGGGGGATGCCACTGCTGCGCTACCCCCCTTGGATCACGCACACACACTCACACACACAACGTTCTCGGAAGCGCGCTTCGAGACGGAACTGTCATCAGGTACACTTCATTTATCCACTTTGCGCGACTGTTGCACGGCCAGGGCAGCCGCAAGGAATTTAATTTAGATCCGTGATGCAACTTCTCGCAGGGCCAGCTTGACAGATTTTAATTTAAATACATAGTCTTTTTTCGAAGGACTTTTTCTGTTTGAAATGGCGGCTGGTTTCTGACTGTTCCGCCGTCGAGGTTTGATCGGTGTAGATCGGTCGGACAAAAGGCGCGGTGGGTCGCCGTGCCGCAGCCCGTCGACGCCGTGGGCGGCGGTGCACAAAGACAAAACAATCCGCCCGAAAATATTGAGCCGTCGCTGGTTCCGGCCGAGAGGCAGGAAGTGTCGATCTTGTTTGGGTTGGCGACGGAGTGACGCCGCCCTGCGACCCACCGCCCCGAGCACGCCGGCCAAAACAACAACAAAAACAAGGAAAACAAAAACGGGAGTACGCCACTAGCAGGAAAAGGGGCAATGGCAGAGAACACACACGCGTTCAGGTGAAGTGCGGCGGTTAACTAGCCGTGTCAAGTCCCGTGGGAAATCGTCAGACGCACAAAAGGAGGATGAGGCAGCGTCCGAGCGACGCCCGTGTCGCAGACGGGCGGACGGACGGACACGCACAGACAGACCGCGCTAAATGAGTGACAAGCGAACCCGCGAAACAATCGGGGGCCGTGGGGGCGTGTGCCGGCACACACACACACACACACACACACACACACACACACACACACAGAGGGAAGGGGTGAGGGCGTCTTGGGTAAACTTGAACTTCAGAGGAAATGGTGTCCGAGGGTCGATGAAGAGCGACAGGTAATCAACGCTAACGCAAGGTGAGGTTAGGGTTGGCTCACGGGGTTGAGTAAGAAGGCAGTCGTCGGCACGACAGGCAGCCCGTCCCGCGGACCTCGACGAAGGTCACGTGAGGACCTTATTGGGGGCCTCAAGTAACTCGGCGAAATAACAAGGCAGTGATTTCGCCAGGGAATGATGCTGCACAGTGCTTCAATTAATTTATCAGATTCATTATCTGCCCGCGGCGGGAACGCGGTGCGCCACACCGTATGAGAAACTGGTGTGGCGGCGGGCTTTTTCAAACTCGGTAACGAGATGGGAAAACAGCTAATCGGAGTTTGGATCGAGCACCAGCGGATCCTTTTCCAACCAAGTTCTTCTCGGCCTTTCTCGTCGCCGACCTGGTCGCCCTCGGGTGCGGGATTCGTCACGACGGCGACCTTCCTGTCGGCCGGAGCACGCCGACGACGCCCCCCGGCGGCGGACTCGGTCCGTCTTGGTGGCCTGCCGCCACGCGTGCAAGGGACGTCCCAGGGACAACAAAGCGACATTGTTGGTCCGACAATCCGCACGGGAGGGCGGTCGGTCCGTCTCGCTCGCTCCGCCGCGGGAGGCCCCGCGAGTGCGAGAGAGACACAATGCGTGCGCTGGGCGTGCGCCGCGGGTACCGTATTGTTCGATGCCGCCCGTCACGGACGCCACCTCGGCCACGGCGTCACGGTGACACGGCGAGTACGACGGAGAAACGGCCACCTGATTCGGCAAGGTGAAATGTGTGGAAAGTTCAAAGTCCCCTCCTAGAAAAAAAAATGGGTGTCGTGCAAGAGGACCTGACAGGCTTGATCTGAATTAAATTTTTGTTAGAAGTGTGGCTCTCGCCAACCAGTTCTCGCTCATCATTGTCTCTGAACATTCGGCCACAAACTTTCAATTTGGGCTGGCTGGGGCTTTGACTCTCCGTCTTCCCCCTGCTTCGCCGCTTCCCCGCTTCGCCTCGCTTCCATTTGCAAACAAGAGCGCAGCATCTGCAGCCCGCAAATGGACGCGGCAGCTCGGTGAGCTCGGTGCGGCTAGGGGAGCGTTTTCTTGGCGTCATCGTCGAGACGGCGGGGCGGCCGGCGGCGGGGGAAGGGGCTAGGACGTCCGTGCATAATCTTAGAACCCTGCCGCGCCGCTCCCCGATCGCCACCGCGAGCCCCAGGGAGACAGTCTACTCGGCCCCACTCAGAGGACGAAAATCACCAGTCATGGAGCGCCCGCTGCACGCTGGTTCTGAGAGTCGTTTTCGTCGCTCTGTCTCTCTCGCAGCTGTCAGGGACGCCCCATGAGTGCGGGAGAGAGACAGAGCGACGAAAGCGACTCTCGGAATGAGCGTGCTGGCTGGCGCGGTTGGCGCGGCTGGCCGCGATGGCCTGAGATACGGCACAGCCTCCGCGCGGCGAGTGGGGCGGCAGTGTTTGAACAGCCAAATCGTCGCGCCGGCAAACAGACTCAGTGTCACTCGCTGGTTAACAAAGTGTTTCCGCGATTTACTGCCGTCTGCTCACGCCTATTCCCGCCGGATGCAGGTTTGGATGGTTTCAGGGGCCGCGCCCAAACGCGGAGGGCAATCAGAACCTCAGACAGTGTTAGTACCTGGGCTTCCTAGTCGAAGCTTCCTAACCCAAAGTGGTTGCCACATCAAGACACTCACAGCACCCATACCGTAGGGTTAGTTGCGACGATACCCCTCACGTGGCAGGTGCGCCATGCACGGGGTATTGCCGGACGGTGACAACATTAAACAATTATACCCAGAAGAGCCCACCTGCCTCGGGAAGCCGACGACGCCCCCACGGCGCGGGGTATCGCCGAGTGCGCCGCGCTCCCCATAGCGCGGTGTATCGCCTCGGCGCATTTCAATGCTCGGTGATAAACCAGCGGAACCGCGAGAATGCGATACCGTTCCCTCGCCTCTCTCTCTCTCTCTCTCTCTCTCATTCGAGGCTGGGGAAGTAAAAATTGAAAATGGCGCGAATTTGATGGTCTGTAAAAAGCGGCCGCGAACGCCGTTAAATCTGATGGAGCATACATACGAGTGGCCCACGTGGTGTGTGTGTGTGTGTGTGCGTGTGTGTGTGTGTGTGCGTGTACGTGTGCGTACGACCTAGTGAGCGTTCGCCACACTCCATTGAATTTAATTGGCTTTTTGAAGTATTTGACGTCACGGCTTTCGACTTAAGATTGGCAATCGCCGCGCTTGTGAGAGGCAAAGGCCGGCGAGGGCGGAAACGCCGCTGTTAAATCGGAACAGATTGGAGAACCGCGCTAATCTGGAAACATGGGCAAAGGGGCTGGAAACGGACTGCGTCGCTGTGGAAACGCTAGCAAAAGGCGATTTTGTGAAACTATCATCACAGTTTGCATTTTCTTTTTTTAGCTGCTTTCAGAGGCGACAACACGACCACCCCGAGAGAAGAACACACGAAAGAGTAAGACGCGTTAAGGACGACACGATTCGAAACTGAACCTCTCGACGACGATGTCTCCCTCCCTTTTCAATAATATTCAACGCGAAAACAACAAAGCGAAAAACGGGATATTCACAGTTCATGAAACGCCCCTTCGCACCCTTCCCTTCGCTCTGCCTCGCCCTGCTTCGCACCAGACACCGCGGCGGCGTGGCTGGCGGGGTGTGTGGTGGCGAGGGTGACATAGAGTGAGGTTAGGGGAAGGGGGAGGCGATTTGTTACGGATATCGCGGCCTTGCAGGCGCGTCGCGGGCCGGGCCGCGGCTGCCTCCGCGGCGCTCTCTCCCTCTCTCTCGCTCCCCCGCGGCTCGCGGCCCGGGCCGCGGCTGCCTCCGCGGCGCTCTCTCCCTCTCTCTCGCTCCCCCGCGGCTCGCGGCCCGGCCCGCGGCCAGCCCCGCGGTGTCCCCGTCGGACGCGGCCGACACCCTCGGTCCGAGGAGGGCTCCAGACTACCAGCTTTATTAAAGTGACAATGTTTCAATTGCGTGAACAGCGAACACTGCGACGACACCAAAGGGGAATCTGGGTGGCGGCGGTTTGGACTCGCAAGGCCAGGCTGGGAGAGAAGTAAGCGGCAGTTCTCTACGAGAAGTGTAATTCCGAAAAAAATGCTGGGCAACCGTGTTTGAACCCGGATCCTGCCACTTCCCAGTCATGCCCCTTGCCACTCAGCTACCAGGTCACCATTCCAACCGCAATGTCAGCGCCGATATTGAAACTTTTGTTCAGCACGGCACCCTTGTCACCGGGCATTTTCCGCAAGCCACTCCACAGCACTCCATCTCTTCCGAAGCAGCATCACTGGTAGTCCTGAATATGTGATCGCGGCAGTCGTGGACCAGCTGTCCGCGGGGCTGCCTGCTCTGGCGCCCCGCGGCGGCCACCCTCGCCGCCCAGACCGAGCCGCCACCCGCGGCCTGGCAGGCTGGCAGTGCGTGGAGAATCTGTAATTGTTTGTCAGAGTTGTTTAAGGTATTCGCTCCAGGCCTGGGTTATTTGATTCCCGCGCGTGGCGTTGGCCTGGCGCCCCCATGAGAGAGAGAGAGAGAGAGAGGGGAGGGGTAGCGAAGGGTGTGATAATATAGCAGTTTGGCTACCCTTTTGCATCCTCTGTACGTCTGTGTCCGGCAAAGCCGCACCGAACGGCAACCCTTTATTGCTCTTCACAGTTCACACCGCTGCGATGCATATTAGGGTCATGCGATGATGAAACACGTCATGTCTTTTGGCAAAGCTGTGACTCTTCCTTCTCATCATTTTGCGTTCTATCTTCCTGTGCTGTTCCGAGAAGCTGTGATGAGTAATACTTTCTCTCTCGGTCCACAGGAGGAAGCAGGAGACAGCGTGATGTGTCACAGTCCAGTCAGGAAGCACACACGCCACCACCACTTGGCCGGCACGGGGTTGGGGTCGCCTTGGGGTTACGCGCCGAAAGAAGCTGTATCATCTCCGAACTGTCAACTCTGACCTGAGCCCTCTTCTTCTCTGCAGTGTGAGGACCGTGAGGACTGCGTGCCCCCAGAGGTGTCTACACTTGTCTCCCGGAGCGACGGTAGCCTCGCGGGAGCTCTCTCTCTCTCTCTCTCTCTCTCTCTCTCTCTCTCTCTCTCTCTCTCTCTCTCTCTCTCTCTCTCTCTCTCTCTCTCTCTCTCTGCCAAACGGAGAGAATGGCCCAGAGCAACGCAGCAGCCGATGATGCGGCGCATTGCCGGGCGTGACTCACTGCCGGGGTTTTTTCCCGTTCAAACGCCAAAAGAAAGTTTGCAAAAAGAAAAAGTTTCTAAGTTGTTGGATTTGAACGCCGGTCCTCTAGGATCGTGATCGAGTCTGAATGCTTCCAAGCACCCCCTCGATGACGAAAATGTTCGAATCCTGTTTTCCCTGGTGAGCTGCTTGTCGTCCGGGCAGGTGCAACATGCTCTCGGATGACAATGGTTTTAGACTTTTATGTTTTCATTGCGGCAATTCTGTCGGCGATGCTTACCTAGAGCAGCTTTATTGTCAACGTGAGGTGGTTTCTTTCTCTCCCTCTCTAACTTTACTGTCGACTTAAAAGCTGAGAAAAAAAGTGTAAAAACTTGCGGTATTTGAACATCCGCTCATGTACTTCGAACCATCGATTCGCGAAGCGTGTGCGTCCTCAGCGACGGCGTGGGCCGGGAGAGAGAGAGAGAGAGAGAGAGAGAGAGAGAGAGAGAGAGAGAGAGAGAGAGAGAGATAGGGCGAGGGGGAAGGGGCGGCGGGAGGTGGAATGAAGGAGGGAGAGGGAGCCTTGGCCGGAGTGTCCAGGCCTCCGGGCGCCACGGCAGGCAGGTTGACAGGTGCTGGCCTCTACCGGCGGACCGGGGAACTGCTTGGCCGCCGTGCAGGTGACTCGAGGGACCTCGGCGCGCGGAGCGGTCCTGGAGGCCACTGGAGTCCACTGGAGTGTCCGGCGCCTGTGCCGATCAGTGTAGGCAACCCGCGCGACCCCCGTGTGGCGCGGCGGCCAACCCAGCACGGCGCTCTGGGCGCTTTCTCCGGGACGCCAGTTGAGTTCTTATGTGGTGCCAGTTGAGTTCTTATGTGGTAAAAAGGCAGTGGACCATAATGGGTTGCCCAACTATCCGGCGCATTTCATTTTTTTGCTAGAAAAAGACTGTTTAGGGCCGAGATGGTCCTTGAAATTGTCAGGAGCAATAAGGGAGAGCCCCTGCACAACGTACTCAAATTTGGGCCTTTTTTAATTTTTTGCCGAAAACGTGAAAAAAACACGAAGAGCCTTAGCTTTTTTCGACGAAAATGGTCAACCTCCTCAGATTTGTCTCAAATTCACATGGAATCTTCCTATGGGCCTAAGAAACAGATGCCTAGTGCCTAACGGTCTTTGCCACATTCGTTTTGGTGTGAAAATGGTCTCGCACATAAATCTTCAACTGTTTGAGACATTGTTTTTACGCAATATTCACCGCTCTTTTTTTTCTTCTTCAAAATAATGACTTTGACTGACTTGTGAAATGGTTCTAATTTCTTTTCTATCTCACTTCTGCCTTTAGTGTGAAACCAATCCTAAACTGCAGAGTGGTCAACCCATCGCTTTTTCAAGCGAAGGGTCGTGGGTTCGATTCCCACTTGCGGAAATTGGTGTAGCATTTTTTTTTCTGTGTCTCGATCAAGCTTCTCTCCATGTTTTTTTCTATGTCTTCTGCTACGACCACCGGATGTAGACTATTTTTTTTTTTCATTTAAAGCATGTTTGTGTGTAAGGGGGGAATGACGAGAAAGTATGTAACGTTAACACAGACATTTTGTGTTTTATTGTTCTCTTTTTACAGTCCATTTACAGCTTCTCGAGATAAAATTTACAGTTAGACTTACGAGCTGTACATTAAATACAATTAGTAACTGATATAGAGGGGTATTGCAGGTCTTTGGTTTCATTGGGCAATGCGGACGGAGTTCCAATATTTCCTGCCCGTTTTTTATCATTTCTTATTTCTTTTTCACCAAATATAACATATTCCAATTGACTTTCTACTATATTTCTACATTTCCTTCTAGTCACCAGTTTACGAAAAAAAAGGTTACGATGCATTATAGAAACTACAATCTCATCGACATCTTGGACATCATTTTTTTTTGGAAGGAAGTCAAATTTTCCAGGAGACAAACATTGAGTTGCTCGCCAAAATACCCGGCCTAGACGGCAGAGAAGTCACAATACCCTCTTTCTAAAAAAATCACAGTAGCTTATAAAACTATTTACAAGTGGGTAGGACTCTTGACTAATTAACAAATATACACATTAGAAACCAGTGTTCCTTTCATTTCAAAAGCCCACAACTGCAGAGAGCGCAGAGCACAAAGTAAATGACAACATTAGCTCAGTGCTCCTCGCCCCCACTTCACTCTGAAGATTCCACAAGCATCTTCCGTTGCACCACAAACTTTACCAATCGTATCACAATGAGCAGAGTATATTATAATGACTGGCTTAGAGACTGAGATCTAACAGGGAAGGGGCAAAAAAAGGTTGAAACAAAAAACAACTATAAAATGGCGTCTTTTAGAATTCTACATCGAAAATCATGTTTGATAATAATTGGCATGGCTCAGAATAACAGAAAGAAAACAATGAAAAATATAAAGGATTGTCAAATATTTCTATTTTTCCGGGTTCCTTCCCCCCACGACACCGGTGGCGGGCAGCTTTTCCCGCCACAGGGAAGTCCCAACGAAGCGCTACGCGTCGCCCTGCACCGCCGCGGCCCGCTCCTCCTCCTCCCTGGTGAGCGGAACGGTGGAGTGGTTGTACAGCCCCTGCGCCATGAGCTGCAGCGCCAGGGGGTTCTTGTTCCCGGACGCCTTCTTGATCTTGGCCCGCTTGTTCTGGAACCAGATCTTGATCTGGGCCTCGTTGAGCCCCAGCTCCCGGGCCAGCTCGGTGCGGCGCTTCTCCGTCAGGTACCGGTTCTCGGCGAACTCGTGCCGCAGCCGCGCCAACTGCTCGCCGCTGAACGCCGTCCTGGGCCTCTTCTCCTCCTCGGTCCTCTTGTCTTTCCGCTTGGGCCGCCGAGTCCGCGGACCTGTCGACAAACACGCACTCCTTTTAGACCGACAGCACCGGCGTGTTCGTCAGACTGACCAGGTATGATTTTACTGAGTGGACGTAGGCACCAGTGCACTAGAAAAAAATTACTGCGACATAATCTTAGCTCTACTACTAACTCAATCACTTAAAAGAAATTAGAATGGTGCTCTAGATGGGAACTAATGTCCTCTGTTGCCATCGTAATTCTCGCGCACACATGCTATCTTTCTCGGCAACAGGTAATGACTGCTGGTAAGGCACTACTCCTAGAGCAGCTGGACGGAACAGGCCAATTACTGAATTAGCATCTCTCGCCTAGCCTCGCGCAGCCTAGCCTCCGACCAGGACATGTTTACGAGGCACCTGCTACCGCGCAGCGTGCAAACGGCACACACCTTCGGGTGCCGACTTTGGCGCTCTCTCCCCCGACCACCTCAGCCCGGGCAAAAAAAAGCGGCGATCAAAACAAGAATCTGATCGCACAGCATATCGTAACGTTATCCTGACCACAGGCACAACGCCTGGCTGCCCCCTCCCACTGCGGTGGGGCCGCCGGTGCGATGCCCTGGGCCGCCCTGGGCCGCCCTGGGCAGTGCAGGCCCCGTGCGGCGGCGGATGATACATGTGTCAGCTGTCGGGTCCTGGGCATTTTCAGCTTTTCAGCTTTTCGGCGATGCCGGCCTTGTCTCCGATGCGCAACGACAGCGAAGCTGACAGACACACAGACAGACGGGCAGAAAACGGACAGACGGGCGCCGGTTGGGCCCCAGGGCAAGGGGTACCAAGGCCGAAATTTTAACTTGAACTTTTTTTGACATATTTATGTTGGCCTGCCACCCCAAGGCAAAATTTTTGATAATTTGATGTTGGCATGCCTGTTTTGTCTGAGTGACACCCACACATGCACGCACCTGGGCTGCAGGTTGCAGCAGGGGCACCACGAAAACGGACTGATCCGAAGGGGTTAATGAGCACACGAAGAACCCGGGGGACCCGAAGGACCCGAAGCAGGAGGAGTGGAGATGAATTCGTCATCCACCTGATACCGTACCTACCACCCGCATGGCACTAGCGCCAGCCCCGCCAGCCCCGCCAGCCCCGCCAGCCCCGGGCCCTGAAGCACTCAATTACGTAGTGGCTCCCCTCCCAGGGCCCAACCAACCCCACCGCGAGACCCTCAATACCACGCGACCCGTCCTCTCACATTTCAAACCCTTAGGCCCTTTAACTCCGACCCCCTCTCTGCCGCCACTGTTCGAACTTCCCCGACCTTTCACCACTTTTCCACACAGTGCGACTTTTTTTTCAACCCTTTTACTCAGACATAATTTTCTCTGCAACCCCTTCCCTAACCCCTTCCGACCCTTCTCCGACCCCCTCCGACCCCGATCGCGTGTCTCTCTCGCACTCGCGGCGCTGGCCCATTTCGGAGCGAAGGTGACTAAGTCGTCACGGAGGCACCTCAAGGCAGACCCCATCCATCACTGTGAGCACGCCGGGCGGACGGACGGACAGACAGACAGACACGCCCGCCAGGTACGGACTTCTCCAGTGGCAGACACATTCTACCGCAGATAAGCCCCGATTCTCCCGGTTTTAGGGAGAAAAAGAAAGGAGGTGTATCGGTGACATCAGCGAACGGGAATGAGGGAGAGAGAGAGAGGGGGGGGGGCATACCTCGCCCCGTCCTTCAATTTCGGTTTCAGTTTCGGCATGAATCGCATACACTCCACGTGTGTGGGCCGGCGCGCTACGCCACGCCACGCCCCTCCGCGACAATCGGCCGTGCCGCGCCGCGCCAGTGAGCACTGCGTGAAACGCGAACCGGATCTGTGATTCGTGCGACCGTCATTTGTCAATACCCCGCGCTCCGGTTTGAATGCACGTGGGCGCCGCGCCGCACAGCACCGCCCCGGACGAGGCGCGTGTGAGCCGCCCCGCGCGCGTGGAGTAGCGACGCTCTAAAACTACATAAGTACTCCCCCCCCCCCAATGCCCCCTCACTCACGTTTTCGTCGTGCCCAGTGACTCATTCAATGAATGGACCCAGTTCGCCCCGGGCAGAAGGACGCAGTGACGGTGGTTCGGCTGGAATGCCGAATTCCCGTGTGTGTGTTTGTGTGTGTGTGTGTCGTTAACGGGTTACGTTGTTCGAGTTCATTACTACAGCGATGTTGTTTTTAGAGAGGGATGGCCTGTTTACAGATTTCCAGGTCACCTCCTGGATACTGTAAGCCCTGCTCCCACTCACTCCAAAACAAGAATAAAACAAATGATTTGAAACATTTTGTAAAACGTAGTCAGGTACTACCTCGTTTCCCTGAAACAAGTCCATCTCCCTTTTCCCCTAATTCTACGTTCCCGTTGATGAATGGCAGCACTTTCGCGCACTTTCTTTAATTGGTTCGCCTTGCACTTCTTGCCCTTCCGCTTAGCGCTCCCGAGGTGCTCCCCCCCCCCTCCTTTCCCCTGCCGCCCTGACTCCTAACGGCGTGGTTTGCGGTCCGCTCTACCTACGTTACCGTCGCAAATGTAACCATCAGCACCCCTCAGCAGCACCCCTGGCTACACTGCTAAACGAAGCTTCTGTACGGGTACAAACAGCACTACCGTAAAGCCCATTTTAAAAAAAGCCATAATTTAAAATTGAATGTCCAGCTTTGATAGCATGGCACTTATTAAATTAAGAGCTTAAAATTGAACAACGATGAGAGAAGTACCTCCATTGTACTCAAAACATCACCGTGAAAGAAAAGAAAGAGAACACACTGGTAATTCAAGAAAAACTAAAAAGGATTTTTACGCTTTTCTTAAACAACTTGCTCATTGCCAAGCATTTCTTTTCCAGGGCACTTTTTTCTTTTCAGTGCGTCTGTAGAAAGACTCAACTCGATACCAATGTGAGAATAGTTAAAAGAAAAAGGGTACTTAATACTGATGATGTGGAGGCTTTTTCGCTCATGGTTGAAAGAGTTCAGCAAACTTACTGCGGCCTGGGGGCAGAAAAAACAACGAAAATCAGTACAGGATCACTCACACTCGACATCATCTGCAGACCTGGACAATACAATATTTGGCATATAACACTTGAAAAAGAAATAAAACATTAACCAAAGAGACAGAGCAGGACGACAAAGCTGAGTATTATAGCACGCTAACGTTTAAACAGAAAGAGTGGCGCTCTACATATCAGAGCTGATGGTGCACGGTAAAAGAATAACGTGCAAGGATTAAAAAAAAAAACACATTAAAAGTGGGAGGGGGTTTCAGTGCACATTCCTGGAGCGGGGTGGCCCTGGCCAGTTGGACTTAGGGGTGGTTAATGCTGGAATTTAATTAGGAAGACATGATACTTGATGAGGCAGACACAGCCGTCCCAACGCTCCGCACGCCACCCCCAATGAATGAATGAATGAATGAATGAATGAATGAATGAATGAGGAGATTGGCGCGCACTGGACCAAATGCAGCATTTCCCAGGTCCGCCACCCCGGCTTGTCTGGCACCGCCCTAGACGCCTAGAATTACGTAAAGATGGAGAGATAGCAGAGTGCTTCCCGCGCGGCCAATCGGAGAGCACAGCGCTACCGCTTTGGACCACACATGAGCGTCGGCGTAATTTTCTACTCCGTTGAACAATTAGACAAGTCGTCTTTTCGGAAGCCGCCGCGGCCAGTCCATGCTCGTATAAAGACATCAAGCGAAGGCTTCATCTTCTTGGCGGGACATAGAGAGAGAGAGAGGGGGGGGAGGCCTAGAGGAATGACGTGCCTGTCTCCCTTCAATCGCCGTCTCTCTCTCTCTCTCTCTCTCTCTCTCTCTCTCTCTCTCTCTCTCTCTCTCTCTCTCCCTCTCTCCCATTGTCCGCTCGCGACATACGCTCGCTTCTTAGGCGACCACCCTGAGACACTGATCTTGTTTCTCTCGCGTACCGACGTTGCTCTCCTAACGCCTTCTTTCTCGCTCTGACGCACCGAAAGACACACACACTAACGCACACACACGCGCACACACACACACACACACGGATCGTGACACTACTCTTGTTTTCCACCTGAGTGCCCGACTCATCCCTATAGAGCTGTAAGGTGAAACACACACACACACACACACACACACACACACACACACACACTCAGAGTCACTAAGCTGCTCCGATCCGTTTGCCTCTCTGATTGGTTTGGCGCGGCAAACACTACAGTGGACCTAAGCTGGCAGTCGGGCTGCCGAAAAGCAAACTGACGCGTTATGGGCGTCGCACAAAAGCCGGCCGGAGCTGGAGGCGAGCTGGAAGACACTGGAAGCGGCGGCGGTGCTGTGAGAGAGAGACGCGCAACAACAACACGCAACACTTCGGGAAGCAGCGAGCGACGCAGCCAGGACGGCCTTTAAAATGTTTGCAACCTTTTTCATATATTTATTTTTACTGCAGAAAGATTTTTTTATAATGTCATTTTCTCCTCAGTGGCCATTTGTAAAACATTAATTTGGCGAAAAATTAGAAAGTACAACGAGAAAAAAGTTTGCAAAAGGACCCTTTGGCAAAATAGTGAAAATTAGCATTATTTGTTGCTAATGGGTCGCGCAGTCCGTGTGACTCAGGCTGTCACTCCAGTGCGGTGACTCCGGGTGACTCCGGCCGGACCACCACGCTCGGGGTTCGCCCGGAAATCTCAAATCACGACCGGAACCAAGCGCCGCTTCGCGCTTCGCGTCCAGCGGACCACGCGTTCAAATCTCCCGCGGTCCGGCAGCTCCGCGGCCAAGAAAGAATCCAGAAAAAAAGAGAGAGGAAATGGAAAAGAAATGGTGGTGGCGAAAGGTCCCATCGGTGCTCGAACCAGCGACCGCTGAATGAGATTGCATAGCACGTGTCTCGCTTCAGTCTTTCAGGGCCACCCATGCCGGCCAGATAGGCTTACACCGGCCCCCTCCCTTTCACTCTCATCCCAATAACTCCCCCTGCTTCGACCGAACGTTTCTGGGCGAAATGCT